CTGAATTTTCAGCAGCCATTAATCCAGTCTTCAGTGTCACATGGTCCTTTAGAAATTATTCTATAATCATTCAATATGTTAATTTAGCAATAAAGAATCACTCGTTATTAGTAATATTCTTGAAAACTGTTACGAGACATTGTTAATATTTTTGGAAATATTTATACAATTTTTTCAGTATTCTTTGATGAATGGAAAGACTAGAACAAAACAAAAACTAGAATTTTTAAAAATATTTTAAATGTTTTTACTGTCACTTCTCATCAATTGAATGCATCATTGCTAAGTAAGAGTATTCATTTCTTTAAAAAACTTGACAGTAATGTAATATATAGAATTTATACGGCATGAAAAGTAAAATCCCAGTGGTTAAAAAAAAACACTTCACATTGCTGTATAATATATTGAATATTATCCAACTGCTGTGATTTTGTTGCTTTGCGCAGCATTTTGCTTTCAGTAAGGACACACATTTGTACTTGATTGCAGAAACATGATGTCTCGGTTCTAGTTAGGCAAAACTTCCTTAGTTACACAGTTTCACAGCGCATACATAAACAGTGTAACTGCAACAGCAGGCTCGGGTTTGTGCTTTCACAAAGACAGCATTTCTGTTATGTAACAGAGCAGCAGCTCTAATTTCTGAGCTACTACACTGATTATTTACCTTTGGTAGCATAGGCCTCAGCGATCGTGGACAGTCTGTACACTGGAGCCCCTACCAGCTGCATCTCATCCAGACTCACACGACTGTACTGATTCAGTGCTTCCCTGTAATCACCCTCCACATAACAAAGCTTAGCCATGATCAGACTGGCCTCCTGCATGTATTCAGGCTGGGAGAGAAAGAGAAGACACACACCACCACACTGTAGTATACTATAGTAAATCAAATATAGTACCACAATCACTTCACATTTTCAGACACACAACTAGAATAATTTAAATACATCGCTAAAATACAGATAAACACCAATGATACTGGAAAGGCTCCAACCACG